AGGGTCTATCTAATGACTATAGTCTCAAGCCAAAAGCGATTTAACACATGAAAAGGTTCCCTCGTAAGCAGAAGAACAGATGTTATTTTTTTTGCCAAATATATCATTCGATTCAGTTAACTCAGAGTTATCACACTTCCATAGACAGAAAAACATGCTCTTTCATATTGTACATAATTTAAAAAGCCTCTCAGATTTGTCATCTTATTGTGCTAGGTCTTTTCTATTATTATTTGATTTTTCTTCAGGCTGCTTATCCACCTAATCATTATATACGTCAAGTACCACAACGTAAAATTCATTTATTTACATTCTTACAATTAATTCAACTTTCAATCTTATGTATTTTGGGATTTTCACCAATACTTTATACTAAATTAATCTTACCAATATGGTTAGTTGCTATGGTTGCTTTTCGATATCGAATATTACCAAAAATAATTGCAACGAAATATTTACGAGCATTAGATCAACGATTATAGATTTTATTTTATTTTTTCTCCTCAAACAAAAATATAACAAAATATTATTCGATTGAAGTATCTATTACAAAAAATTGTTCGTTAACAAAAAGATTTAGATGATGAACTCTAATATATCAGATTTTAACAAATTATTTTTTTGTTTTATTCATGTCTAAGTTTTATTGTAATGCGTAGGAGAATATTATTATTTTATTATCTTGTCTGATGAAAATTATCAACATTAATACAAAGATGATTTTGATATGACAAACACAAATGCATATCAGAATCATGTAAAATGAAAAAAATTTTTATAACTTATCTATCTGATATAAATATACAAATAAATGACAATGCAGGTCATCATAACGAAAAGAATCGTCAAAGATTTCGAAATTGTCGACTTTATCTAAAGTCCGCTAGTGAATAGAAGGATTTTATTAGTGAATCAAAAGAACATCAACTTTATGTCATACTGATAGTATATCCAACTTTTTTATTTCTTAGCGGAACTTTATTTTTACTCAGCGAACTTTACTATCATCATGCGTCAGTTTTCTCTTTTCAATAGATTATCATTATTTTTTGTAAGAGCAAAAAAAAAGGGATATCAGCATGTAGTTAAAGTTAGCAATATATTCGAGTTTTTTTTGCGTTCGGATTCGTTCGATGACTTGAGTTGAGCCTAGAAATGGTAGAGTTGAATATAGAATTCAAATATGCATCGAATGATACTATTTTTAACTCGAGTTATTAGGCAAAAATAATGGATGAAGATGATAGTACAGTGTCATAGTCTCCGGCCCGGTTTCCTCCTCACCCACTTTTTCTGTCCGATGATTCTAGTTAAAAATAGTCCCATTCGACGCAAATTTGAATTCTATATTTAACTCTGCTATTTCTAGGCTCAACTTAAGTCGTCGAATGAATCCGAACGGGAAATAATTTTGAAAAAAACCCTGAAAAAAGTAGTATTCGAGGTATAAATGAGATATTAGCTAGATGACCTTAGTCGAAAATAGCATCATTTGATGGAGAGTTAAATTTTGCATCTAACTCAAGCAACTAGAGAATCAATTCGGGTCGTAAAACAAATCCGGACGCAAAATACTTTAAATTTATTCAAATTTCTCTTATATTTATCTGAATGAATCAGTTCGTATGAAAAGAAAAATCCTTTATAGAACAGAAATATCCACTGATGGAATATTTATATTTTACTTTTTCTACAACTATTGATATACGTGATATTTCATTAGGTATGCAAAGTCCTATATATTCTTAGCGAACTTTAGGTAAAGTGAACATTTTTTGGATCTTTGACATTGCTACTTTTTTGATGAATTAGACCGTCAAGAATTGCTCATACTTCCCCAGCACTACTTCTACTCTCTTAGAGTCCGCTGCCTGGATCAGCTCAGAATCACACTATTAAAAGTGTATTTCTACACGATAGAACTCAATAATCACTGTAGTTATTTATTAAAACATTGTAAAAAGCTTATTATCATAGTGATCACAAGCTGCATATAATGTCGAGTAATTTTAATGTTTGAAAAAAACGAACAACATTAAAGATAAATCGAATAATTTATTGAACCAAAAAATTGACATGCATTCCTGGATGGTACTCCAATTTCTTGAAGACTATTGTTTATTAATATAAATTTTCATAAGTAAAATGCCTGGTAATAAATTTCAACGCATCAGATCGGTTACTATTTCCAATTACACAGTTAACATTATTTCACTTCATTAACACTTAAACCACTTAATGCAGCTGACAGTGCACTTAGCCTTATGTGTATATGAGAAATGTTATTGAATTGAATAAATGTTCTATTTTTATTTATTAGAGAAATGAAATATTCAAAACATTCACATAATAAAATTTCGTGAAGTATAAAATCCATTGATGAAAACTTTTCTTACATTATATCAGATTCAATTAAATTGTCGAATTGAACATTTCATATATTATATTCAACATGAGTTAGTAGATTTATTTTTTAAATAAAACTCATATTAAACATACAGAGCAACTTTGATATGAAAAAAAAAAGATACAGTTGTCAATAAATTTTTTTTCTCGATTTGCTCTGATAAATAATAAACAAATTTGCTAATATGACAAAAAACAAAAAAAGGAACAATTTGGACGTTATGACAAAAATATAATAATAAAATATACATGCATATGTTTTTAAAACGCAAAGTAAATAAATGTTTAATGTATATATATACAAAAATTTTGAAATTATTAATTTTATTTAACAATAATTACTGGTGGTAATTGACGATCTGGTAAAACTTGTTGATGAAGATATTCATATTGTCTACGTGTATCAGCAATCTTAAAATAGAATATTTCATTTAATATATCAAAAAACCAATGTATTAGAATTTACTTGTTGTAAAATTGCTTTTTTTCTTTCTTCTAATTCATGTTTGACACGTTTAAGTTCATCAACTTCTTCCGATAAAAATTCAACACCAATTGCTTTTCGTTTTCGACAATTTTGTGCAGCAATCTATATATATATAATTTTATTCGGTGAGAAAAAAGAAAAAAAAAATATCGAAATACTTTATTTTTTCCACGACGACGAATATCTTTTATAATATGCATTTGTTGTGAAGTTAAATTTGTTAAACCTGCTAAATGACGATTATATTCTTCTGTACTTGATTGAGTTATATCGTTTACAGTCAATGGAATATTAAATTGACGTAAAGCATCTTCATCTTGTTGTCGTTGATTATTTAAACGTGCATTTGTACGTTTTTGTATCATATGTGATATTGAATCGTCATCTGATTCAATCTAAATAATTATAAAAAATGAAAATATTTTATTTTCTTAAAATATAAATATATATATACTTTTTCTAATTTTGTATCATCATATGATATTTCACTATAATTCTAAAATAAAAATAAAAGAAATGAATATTTCTGATTGAAAAAATGATTACTACTTACTGAATATTCATCATCGACTAAAATACTTAAAGGATTTATTAATGTTGATTCATTATTAGTAGTAATATTTTCATTGGATAATGGAATGATATTTGGTGATGATAATGATGATGATGTTGTTGTTATTTCATTTGATGTATTCTCATTATTATCAATAAATTGATTTGGATTAGTAAACATTGTATTATCACTATTTTCGTTAAGATCTAATAAATTTGAAAACCAATCTGAATCAGTTTGATCGTCAATAGTGTCAAAAAATGAAGTCGGAATATTATCAAGAATTAATTCACTATTGTCTGTTGTTGTGATTGGTAAAGTTTGATGAGATGATGTTTCGATCTTAGATAAAAATTCTTCGATCCATTGCTATAATAAGAAAAAAAAAACATATACAAACATTTTTATAGTAAAAAGGTTATTTAATAAATAAATACAAAAAGACAAAGATAACGTACATCATTTGATGTAGGTGGTGAAGATGTGTTTGATATTAAAGTCGATTCACGAAAGATTTTCTCACCTGTAAATATAAAATAAAAAAGAACAGGTTATATAAATATTTAACTTTATGGACGATGATAACATTTGTTTGAGGTTTTTTTGTCAGAAAGAAACATTCGTTTTTAAATTCATATTAGACTGTTGACTATATCTTATTTTATGACTCAAAATAAATTAAAAAGTAGGTCATACACATAATATGCAATAGAATTGAACAAAACTAATTGTTGAGAGAAAAAAAAAGATTTTTAAATCAAACTTATTAAAACATACCAGTTTCAGGATCTATATCATAACTATTTTCATCATCTGACATTGATGAATCATCTTCATTAGTTGTTAATTTTTTTCCAACATCTGTAAATTGTAATTCAGCTGAATAAACTGTAAAATCAATTGTTTTTTCTGTTGTATTAAAATCATTTATTGTTTCATCAATATCAATCCAATCCAATGGACGTACACCTAATTCATCTACATCTATAGTTAATAATCCGTTTTGTTCATACAAGAAATCCATTTTTTATAATAATTATAATAACAAGAATGTTTTTATATGTGGCAATGCCAACAGCGTTGTTTTGATGTCTAAGAAAGAGAAAAACACATACAAATATTGGGGTAACCGAGGTAGAAAATAAAAAAGAACAGAACGAGAAAGAAGAAAAAATATTGTCCTCGTAGTTTGTCTGTGTAATTGTGGGGAAGAGAGAAAAGAAATAAGCAAGAAAAGAAAAAGACGCAGTTTATGTTCGTCATCGTACTTCCCGTAACTCTCGTACGGTCATGTCCTTTTTACCCCCTTTTTTTACGATCTTAAAAAGAAATAGTAATAACCATATGGTTGATTATTGCAATAGAACAAATAAAAAATACTCGATCGATCTTAAAAACAATTATACAAATCTACATTTTTCTTTGTCTATATTCTAGTTAAAATAAGTATAAAATGAACTAGATTATTTATATTTTATATTAAATAAGAATTCTCTTCGTAAAATATTATAATATTCATCAAGATCACTTTTTTTTTTGCATTGAAAACAAAAAGAAAAGGATGAATATTTATTTTGGTATGAAAGCAAGCCATAAAAATATCTCATGGAAATCGAATAAATGCTTTTTCTTTTTTTTTTCTTCTGTGGAATGTATGTTTGAAATCGAAACTCGAAAGTTAATTTTTCGTATAGAATCATCTCGAGAATGAAGGCTTGGGAATTTAAACTATACTCGACTTTTCTATTACTCATCCAATGAACATTGTCTCGGTTGGAAAACAATTTAATATTTGAAGAGGTTTCTTTCCTGAGTCATTTCACATATTAGTGAATATAAAGATATTTTAATTAAATTTAATTCGTGTAATTTAATGAATTTTTGTAAATTGTTTGCTTAAGAATACATAACAAATATTTATGCTCTGTCAATTGATATTATAGAAATAAAACACATGATTAATCTTATGTTTGAGCTTTGCCCATGCATTATATTTATTTCTACACTCTTCCAATTGAAAAGAATTCTTTTAAAGTTTTGTATTATGGATGAAAAACTGTTATAGTAACAAGAAACAAAATAACACAAATTGATAACCATAACTTTTTTTTTTAATAGAAAAATCAATCAAAATTATTTTTCAATTTCTATTCACTTAAAAACAAAAACTACCCTGGCTGAGAAACGGTGACTGTGTTCGATACGTAACCACAAGATACTGTAGTCATACTTCATTACTATCAGCTATGGAATGACAACCCTAGATAAATTACTAACGATTATTAGTCTCGGATCACCTGTCTAAGAACATGCTGACTACCTTGTGACATACACCTATTCTTGTGAATAGTATTTACATAGTTAGTATGTATGAAAAGCTCAATTAATTGAGCACAAGAACTTTGCATCAGGTTCGATTTCTATCCAGAACTACTTATATTATAAAATTATATTAACATCAACATAAATACATACAGTGACTCACAGATTGTTCTAAACACTATTTATAGAACACACTTTTAAGGACATTAATATAGAACACACTTTTGAGGACATTGATAAAGAACGCATTTATAATATTCATGATTACTATAGCAATATGTAAATTTCCCATCAAACTTATTCTGATCTACAGATACGCAAAAAATATTCTCTGAACTTAATCCTATTTATTGATATCACGATTATTTCTTTTTCTATTGAGTAATATACATAGTGCATGCACTTTGTGAATATATAAATATACACATATTGGTCACGCCTATGCTTATTTTTATATATTGACTTCTAACATATGTACAATTTAATGTAGGTGTATAAGCAGGGTAAATGACTCACTGTCGTATTTCTTTTTTCGATTGTATATTTCTTCGATACCACAAATGTACAGATGTTTCCTATATGTTTAATGATGATTGACTATTTATAATGTTTATCTAAAAAAAAAATCACTATCATATAAAAATCAGATTTAATTAATAAACATCAATCACAAAAAAAAAAAGAAGGAATAAAATAATAAATGTTTAATAAATCATGTCATCAATGTATCTAATTGACTTTGAATTGATTCAAGCTAGAAAGATGAAAAAAGAAAAAAAGTAATTTATGCTTGCAAAAAATTTTATTTATTTTACTTTTTCGAAAAATCCATAAAGTTCATCTTTATTAAATTCAGTTTGTATATTTTCAATTTGCTAAAACAAAAATAAGAAATATTAACTAGTTACAACATCTTTTATTTTTTGTTTTAATCAATCAATGATTGAAAAACTACATCACAAACATAGATTTGATTTTCAAAGTTGGAATCTGTTGCTTTTTCAAAAGTTTTTTCGAATTCAAAATTTTCAAGTTTCTTATATCAGTTTTTAGAGGAGTCAAAGACGACTCAAACAATATCAGTTTTAAAAGAAAATAAACACATCAAAATCAGCTAGAAATATGTGGTTTATTATTCATAGAATCCTTAATTCGAAATAGAAAAACATTTTTTTTATATTAACAAAAATCATCAACATATATGTTTAAGATACTTTTTTTGTATATTTTAATTCTTACTTTTGTTTGTTCATTTTTAAGTTGAAATTCATAAATAGCTATTGGTCGTTTGACTTTACTCTTACTTCCTTGTGTTATACCTACATCTAATGTCCAGCGTATATCAGATAACTAGCAAAATAAAAATTCTATTGATAGTAAAGATTTAAAAAAAAGATAAGTTTCCTACTGAATGTGAAGCAATATGAGAAGTTTTTAAACGTTCAACAATCTCTTTTGCATTTGCTGACCATTGTTCAACAAATATTTTTGCCTTTAAAAATTAAATATAATTGATAAAAAATTTTTTCTTTTAAATAAAAACATACTTTATTTTCATCAAAATTTTGTTCATTTATTAAATCATTTTCAAGTATTTGTGGTTTTATTAAATGATAAGCTGATTGAAGAAACATATATTCAATTGATTCAATCATTTGTTTAATATTATCTATTGATAAACCAAAAGCATTTTCTAATTTATTTAATTCATCTATTGTAAATATTGTTTCATTCTTAATTAAATAAAATAGTCAATAAAATAATTTAATAAACGAGAAAACATTTTTTTTTTACTTGTCGTCCTGTTTTTTCAGCAATACGTTGAACAAGTTTTTTAAATTTTGCTTCATCTAATGAATTTATATGTTGAATTGAAGTTTTTATTCTAATGTACACACGTGAAAATAATTCAAATTAAATTAATAAATATAATTACTTTGAAGAACCATCCGAAAATATTGAACTAGACATTTTCTTTTGGTAAAGAGATAATAAAAAAAAAATGTATGCGTCACATATATTATTATCATGAGTCATAACTAACCAATCCAAATAAGATTTTTCGAAAGAACATTGGAATGAAAGGATATCTATCGACATGCAACAAGTACTCATTGTAGTATTTATTATCAATTTAATATTTCATCGTTCGACGTGAATGATATCAGAATATATTTTAACTATTAAAAGTGCCGCGAAAAATCGAAAAAAAATGTATTTCATATTGAAAAGCAATTAGAGCATGACGATTTTGTTAGAATTCATATATATTGTACAGCAGACAAATGATATAAGTTTTCAGAACATTATGAGTAGAGTCAAGAAATATTTTCTATTTCATCATATTGTCTTTAAGTTTACATAGAAAACATTGATTTTCATTATCATTTTCAACTAACGTGGAATAACTTTCTTGAAAAACGGAAAAAATGATTCGTACTGGTTAATTCTTCACTAATCCTTGTTAGTATTAGATATAAATATAGTTCCAGCATCTATTATAGTAATGATAGATAATGAATAATGAAAATATTGTTAGATTATTCATAAATCTCAAACTTGCAAGTTGAATTCAAGTATTGAATAGTTGGAACGTGAGAAGTTGAATTTTAAGTGTTTGACTATTCAACTTGTCAGTTCAAATATAGAAGTATTTAACTTTTCAACTTGTTTCACTGCAAAAACACGCACATAAGGGTATCTCTGTGAAAGTGGATGCCACGAAAGCATATATACACGTAATCTTTCTCAATAAGGATACTACTGAAACATGCACAGGACATTTTCCTTGGTCTTTAATGGACAGTGGTAAAAATATGTACTTAGAGCATTCCAAAATTAGTGAGAATGATACTTTAATATTACATAGTAAGTTTGATAAACCTTTCTTTCTATATAGAGTGATAGAAAAAATAATGCTCCATCTTTCTATGCTATTTGATCAATATTCAACTAATATTATAATAATAAAATTTCGATGAGAAATATTTTTGTGTAAAACTTAACTATAATATTAAATCATAACAGGATCTGTAATAATAGCAAAACTTTGTATTTTATATTTAAAGCCCTAAATACACTTTATTAAAAAAAACAGGATATATCACAAGATGCAGTGTGAAAAGCTGTATAATCTACAAAGTAAAGTTTATTTTATAGTATATTTCTTCTTTCCAAAAAAAAGAAAAAAACCTATGCGACTAACCTTCAACGCCAAGAAGAAAAGAAATTATTCGCGTACCAAGAAAAACGACCTTCTTCGTAGCGTTAAAGATAAGTCGCATAGGTTTTTTTCTTTTTTTTGGAAAGAAGAAATATACTATAAAATAAACTTTACTTTGTAGATTGTACAGCTTTTCATACTGCATCTTGTGATATATCCTGTTTTTTTTAATAAAATGTTTTTAGGGATTTAAATATAAAATACAAAGTTTTGCTATTATTACAGATCCTGTTATGATCCAATATTATAGTTAAGTTTTACACAAAAATATTTCTCATCGAAATTTTATTATTATGATATTAGTTGAATATTGATCGAATAGCATAGAAAGATAGAGCATTATTTTTTCTATCACTCTATATAGAAAGAAAGGTTTATCAAACTTACTATGTAATATTAAAGTGTCACTCTCACTACCTTTGGAATGCCCTAAGTAGTTCAGAGAGGTCAAGAAAGTAACTATTAATCTATTGAAGGACAAGAAACATCAGATAGGCATATTGAACAAATCCTTCTAATTGTTCAGGAAGTGTTACATGAGAGCAAGGATCGATTGATTAGGGATTCACCAGAATCCATAAAATTTTTCCTTGTTCTGAAGCTTTTGTCTATTGTAGTTTTCGTTATTTCACAACCGATATTGTTTTAGTTTTGTCGTAACATTTCGATCAATCTCAAAAGGTAAATTTTGACATTCAGTTACAGTTTTCCGTCGAGCTCCCCTACGAATTCATTCCATGAGACACACCATTATTTTTGACATGCCACCTTCATCCTCATGCTGTGCTGTATATGATTTAAATTATATGTGTGTAAATTGAGGCTTGTGCGAAGTGGACAAAAACCATGCTTTTGTTAGTACTTGCTCAGTGAGCGTACTTTTATGGGTACCCCTTGCAGTACCTACATCAGTATAATTACTGAGAATTTTTGAAGTACCCATATTAGGTATCCTGCTAAGGCTTTCTCAGTACATGGGTACCCTGAACTCAGTACTTTCTCTAGAGCAGCTTTACTTTTTTATCGTTTACTGATCACTGTTTGACATACGCTGCTAATATTTTTTTTTATTCAAAAGATGAGACTTTTCTCTAGAAATCGTTGGGATAGATTTCTAAAATATATCTTCGTTGTTCAGATATTTGAAAATCTTTGAAAGAGATCAGAGCAGTTTTTTCAATTTTCGGTTTGAAATGATCACTACTATTGAACAAAGATGAATTTCAAAAAACGGTTCCAATAATTTCTAGATAAAAGATTTTTCTTCATTTTGAAACAAATTTCAATATTTTCCACGCTACCATGCCTCGGGAAAATGTTCCGTGCCAAAACTCCCATTTTCATGAGTAAATCGAGTATAACTCCTCAATTATCAAAAATGATTGCTTCAAGTTTTTATCAGATGCTAGTTACATTAGCTTTTCTATTTCCTAAAGTTTTCATGGAAACTTCTTTACTCATTTAGAAGGCAGGTTTCGGGACGAGGAGAGGTTCATCCTTAACAAACACGATTTGATTTTTTTTGTTTGAATTCCTATAATAGGTTGGATTGCAGAAAAATACGGATACAAATCATTATTAATTATAGCTGGTATATTTATGGGTATATCTGGATTTGTAACATTGTTGATATCTTTAATTCAACGATTATGTAAAAATGAAAAAAAAGAAGATACAAATAATGAAGAAACAATGAAAACAAACACTATGACGATCACATTAGATAATTTCGATTGATAATAAATCCGAAAACATACATATATTTTTTTTTACACCTAGTGATTTTTCTCAAACAAATTTCTTCTTTTTTATTCTTGCTATTTTTCTTAAGAATTTCTTGCTCATACTACGCTTATGTCGTTTGGCTAGTAAAACTAGAATCTCATTGCTATAGAAAAAAATCTGTGACGCTTGTTTTAGATAATCTTTTTAATAATTTATTTCCAATATATTTATAAATAAATAAACTCTCATAAAGGCAATAATATTCATTAAAAATTAGTTCAATTGAATAAATTGAAAAGCAGAAGAATCTTTAATTCATGAATTCTCCTTATTACTAAAGATAGTAGCGCCTCCTATCAAAACTCCCTTTTACTGGAATTAAAATTCATCCATTTGCAATATTTTGTATCCGTAATAATGACTAGACAAATAGAAAACAAAATTATTCCATTTTTTCAACACCTGTAACATTTATTTTTAAGAACATCTTATTATTCATCATGGCATCGAGTTCTAGTACGTACAATGTTTATATACCAGGTGATATAATTCCGACTGCAGAAACAAAAATTAAACTTGCAGATCGTATTTTAATTTCTCCTCTTGGTGAGTAGAAGATGTTCAATATGAATGTATAATGATATCTATTAACTCATAGTTTTGGGTACTGCGGCTTGGGGGGATAAAAAAGTATGGACTTGGAGTGAAGAATGTGATGCAAAAGCTAAAGAAGCATTTGATATGTCTATATCAAAAGGTATTAATACTTTTGATACAGCTGAAGTATATGGTAACGGTGAAAGGTTAATAGAGAGAAAAATAAAAAAAAGTAATAATTTAATTTATTTTTTAGTGAACGTTCTATTGCTCGATACAAAACAAATCATCCTAATGCAGGAGATATTGTTCTTGCTACAAAATTTCTTCCTTATCCTTACAGATTTTCTTATCCAAGTTCACTCATTAATGCACTTCGAGCAAGTCTGGATAGATTACAGGTATTAAAAATAGTCTAATATGTTGATTGCGATTAAATCTATAAAGAATCTGTCAATCGTCAATTCTTGTTTTATTCTTTCATTTTTTTTTTTGAGATATCGTACTTCGATTAATCTTGATATAACAAGATTGAGCTTGTTACAATCATAGTGAGATATACATTGTTTCCTTGCTTTTTTTTATGCGTGTGTTCACTCTCTTTCTCCAAATACTAAGACGAGTAACAATTAAGAAACAAATGAATCTCATCGACTTAATAGTGTCTTATTAACTTGTATAATAAAAACATTCAAAATTTGTCAAACAATATATTTTTTTCTAATTTCAGGTTGATTGTGTTGATCTCTATCAAATTCATGGTCCTATTCATTTTCGTTCAATTGAAGTTCTTGCTGATGCATTAGCAGAAGCAGTTAAACTTGGTTTGACAAAGACTGTTGGTGTTTCAAATTATTCAACAGATGAAATGATTAAAATGTATGATTGTTTACAAAAACATGGTATTCAACTTGCATCAAATCAAGTTGAATTTTCACTTCTTCGACGTTTACCAGAAACATCTGGACTTATTGCTGAATGTCATAAACGAGGTATTGCTGTTCTTGGATATTCTCCTCTTGTATGTTAATAAAGCATCTTTTTTTTTGTTTTTCTATAAAACCTTATTATTGTACTCATATAAATCTATACTTGGTTATTCATTAGGCTATGGGTCGTCTTACTGGTAAATATTCAGCAGCAAATCCACCTCCTTCAGGTCGTCCTTTCTCTAATATTAATATGGATGAATTAGAGCCAATATTAGAAACAATGCGACGTATTGCAAATAAGTACAATGTTAGTGTTTCATCGGTGGCTTTGAATTATGTCATATGTAAAGGTATAGAATCTTTAATCATTTTTCGTATATTATGAAGTCTATAATATGTTCACAAAACAAAATTTAAGAATCAAATGCGATATATCAGTTTTACAAATTCAACTAAACTAGTTGACTTATTAATCTCGTCATAGGTTTTTCTCATATAATATTTTGTTACTAAAATGAGTTTGAAATGAAAAATTTTCATTCAAGTTAAATAAAGAATAAAATTCGTATGCGAAAAGTCATATCAAGATAGATGCCTTTGATATTAACAAGAAGTGTTATAGAGAACGATTATAGTCGAAAAATATATTGTTAGAAGTACTTGGTTCGTTGTAAAGTTTCTGTAAAATGAATGGAAAAAAACACAAATTCATATTAGTATTTTCATTGAGAAAAAAGAAATATGACATTTAAGATGAAAAAAAGTACTTGTTTGATGTATATTTCTCTTAATAATGATATTGGGCATTGTAAATTGGAAAACATTCATGAAATTCGTAATATAAAAATCTTAATTATACAATGTTTTTAATAGTATTTCTTTTAAAGGTGTTATTCCACTTGGTGGTGCTCGAGATGCTAAACAAGCTGAACAAAATACTGGTGCTTTAGGATGGCGTTTGACAAACGAAGAAATCGTTGAACTCGAAAGTTATCGTTTTAATCCAGCCAATGCATTTTGGCAACGATTTTGGCAACATGGTTAAAAATGCAATACATTTTACTGTGATTCACTAATTTTATCAACGATAGATATACAAGATTGATAGTTTTTTTTTATTCATTTTTTATAAACGTACGAGAGAAAAAAAATTCAAACATTGAATATTCTCTAGTTTGATAATCTATAATATGACAACGACAACTTATTTATAAAAGCTTAGAAAATGAGTTATATTCAGGAAAGGGGCTGTGACTCCCCCAACCAAGAAAACTTTTTATTTTTTCTCAGCGAAAACGAAAATTTTCGTGTTTTCTCTTAGAAAAAAAAATCGTGGCATCCTTCTCAATGTTGGCTGTCTCGAGCCAGTTTTGATTACATCAGTATCGAAATAATATTCGAATAATTAACTCAATCATCGAAGGATTCAATACTATTTTATATGAAGAGAGATAGAAAAAAAAGTCGATATGAAAAGTTAGTTTGCGACACAGAATTTTAAGTATCTGCAATCTACCATTGTTCAGATATTAAAATACTCGAAGATTTTATAGTGAATATATATCACCTTTTTATGTCACGCCGAGATTTGTTTTTATTCTCTCTTCAAGTACGATTTTATTACTGATAACAATTACTTAATTTGAAAGACGTCATAGTGATTATATTTTTCAATTCACTGTACATTCAGACTTGCATAGTTAACAAAGTTTATCACAATGACGATCTTATCTAGAATTTGAATTATTACTACTTTAATCTCCATTTCTATAAGCAAACCAGCAGCCATCGACAAATACCAGCATTGATGCATTGTTTTCAAAAAAGATAAGCATCTTTCGTAGTGTTTGTGATGACTGTACCAGATCGGCTAGTGATGAACACCAATTGAGTTCCGAATGAAAAAAAATTGATAGATTTTTTTAAATATACTGAAACACATGTCAGGTGTGCATGTGAAATTACCGATATTTTAAAATGATTTGATAACGAACAACGCGACAAAATAATATTAAATAATTTAATGCTCATGCCTTATAATATATCATTTAAGCTTAAATTAGAGAAAAAAGCTGTTAGCGCAATCCTTTGCGGGATTAAAAATGTGGAACACGATCGAGCTATTGTTACTAATTAAATGGATATCGTTTTGTTCCATTTCTTCAAGATAGATTTGTAGCTTACCGTTTATTTGATGCTTCAAAACTACAGTTTCTCTGTCGCGGTCTGTGATGATTCCTGAAGTTCCATATGGCATATCTTCGGCCATTGCCCTACCACTCTGGCGTAGTCCACTCTGTGGTACCTATGGCATTAACAAGGGATCTCTCCCTTGTCATGCGCGTAAGTCAAAATCAGCAGAGAAAAGCGAAATAAATAGCAATACGAATAAATTTATTAAGAAAATAAAACAAACATTAGATTTTCTTTCGTACATTGTCAATCGCGTTTCTCGCGGATTGAATATCAGGATAGCTAGGTTGAAGTGATTTTTTGAAGATAGAAAGTGCCTCCGAATATTTATGCATCTTCTCATTTATCGAGCCGAAGTGCCAGTACGACATAGCCAAATTGGAATGATTCGGAGGCAGAGCTTTTTCTCTTATTTTAAGTGCTTCTTCGTAAAACTCAAGTGCTTTTTTAAGTAGTCACCCATGACATTATACACTCCACCGATGTTGCTATAGGAAGTAGCCAATGAGGGATGATTGAAAGGCAGAGCTTTTTCTTTTATTTTATGTGATTTTTCGCAAAATTCAAGTGCTTTTGGGGTGTGGATGTGTCAGTATTCCTTCTATCTACACCCACACCCGTCATAGAGTGATATCTGTTGACGCTAACAGGTAAGCAATTGACATTTTTGCTACATTTTAATGAAAACCATTTTCAGACCCATCTCAAAAGCTTAATTGTTTTTAAAGTAATTCAATAAAAATTTCAGATAAACATGGAAGAAAAATATATCTTATGTGACTTGATGAATCATTACTCTCTCTTTCTAAAGATGAAAACCCCAGTTCTCTACCTTGTTCTTATCAATTGTTCGAAAATTACTCATGTAATGTTCATTCCTCACGTTGCCAACAATTTACTGAATACTCGATTTCTTGTGACTGAATCCAGCAACCTCGCGCTATGCATTGAAAGATTACAATGACGAAGAAAAACGAAGAGTACTTTGCTATTGAGTCTACCAATAAGATTTTCTATGTGTTAATGACTCATATTTACATTTTTTCGTTCGTTCATTTTTCTCCTTTTGTCGTTTGCATTCGTTCTGTTCTGTCTCAATTTTCTTCATCTTCTACCAAGAAGTTGCTGTATTAGTAAAAATAGGTAAAAAAGAACACGAGACTGTCGTGATTATTATGGCTTGTTTTTATCAAACGAAATAATTTTTCTTGGAATATTCCTGTCGAAAAATGTTTCGTTTAAAAGATCTTTGGTTGAATATGATCATTTCTTCAATTGGTCCATTATTTTTGTCGATGATCTAATATTAGTATCAAAAGCGAAATATGAATTAATATATTCAGTGTTTTATTAAGATAATCTCGTTACGACGTAGTTTGTTCAGTGTATTCACAAGATTTCAATATTTCGAGGCACTCTGATATTATGCAATGTCTATTGAAAATATTTCAGTATTTAATTTCTAGATAATTACAGTGCATTATCCATCTAGATACATATGTCGGTTTTGGTATTTATCTGATAGCATATAAATTCAAACAAACCTATCTTAAATAAGAAAATTGACCTTCTTTAAAATCGATCAAATTTTCTCAATCATCAGCATTCGACAAAGAAATAATTTGACTAAAAACATACTACTTGTCGTCAATGTAGTACTTCGATTTATCAGATAACTCAATATTAATGACAACCGAAAGTCGTATATCTACTCGTTTCCTTGATGCTGACAAAGAGCCCCTGCGAGCCTTGACACCAATTGAAGGCTATGAAAAGAAGCCACTGGTGTCACTTGAAGACGCTGTTCGACCATTGAGACACCTGCTTCATAATCTGGATAATATGGTATCCACTGCTAAATGGAACACACGCGAGCCACAAGATAATCTTACTCCTGATGAATCGGCCGCTATTCATCTGTATACGATGCAATGGCAAAAGCCCCATTCTAGTCTCTATATACTTCTTAACCAAACACTCCGTTCTGAACAACGAATTGACCTCATACCGTGGTTTCTTTATCTTAAACTTCTTCTCACTGCTTTATACAAACTTCCATCAATCAAAGATGTGATATGGCGTGGTATTCGTGGAGATGTTAGTAATCAATATAAAACAGATCAGATATGGTGGGGCATCAGCTCATGTACAGACAAGATGGAAATCATGGAACGATTTGTAGGTCGTTCGGGTGTGCGTACTTTGTTCAGTATAGAAACCGTCAATGGTAAATTGATCACAGCGCATTCTCATTTTCCAAGCGAGAATGAAATTCTTCTGATACCTGGTACTTATTTCAAAGTAAGAGGCAAATGGAGTCCAGCTGAAAACTTATTTATCATTCAGCTAAAAGAAACAGAGGCTCCATGGCAAACGATAGCTCCACCTTGTCAACCGAATTTGCCTGTCAATTCAGTTTTGATAAACAATCCGACAATTTTGGAGACCATTGGTCCGACGAAATACACAACATCTACCACACCATTTTGTAAGATTCTAACAATATTTTAGGACTTTTGTGAACATTTCTTTACTGATCAAAGGACCATAAACATTAATGTTTATGAATATAAAATTACAAGTTGTTCACAGGAATCGTGAAGTACCACGAGTAGTGAACTTTACGCATTGACATACGGGACAAGATTCGACAACATGTTGGATGAAGTGATTTTGATGACGAATAATACAAAACCATTGTAGTACCTATCCTAAATTGCACTCATTCGACTCGCGACTGTTTCAAATTCTAATGTGCTGTAAGATGGACGGTGTAGTGAGAATGAGGAATTTTTCATAGTACTTAATAGGATATTACATTTTTCTAAAGCTTTGCTAAGTCTCTTTTGTCGCGAAAAAGAAAAGAACTATGATGCATTTTTGGAATAGAAATAAAATCTCAATTCATAATAGTTTATTAGCAGATAATCGAAATAGACCAAAAAATGCTTATTCTTTATTCGAAACCCTTCGAGACATAGCATGTTGCCATCGTAATAAGTTTACTTAACTTCAAAAGTATCAGAGCTGGTGAGTGTACTAAAGACTTTCTGCGTTAGTATATTGTATTAAAATACTTAGTGCGACTTTCGAATATCTATTGAAACACATATGACCGAACGATTGAAATAAATATTATGATATTATGTGTCTTCTGTATTTAGTTCAACCTGAAAGACTGTTAAGGTACTCCTCTTGTGTACCCTTAAGAAGAACCTTTCTTATTCGATAATATCAAAGCTTATGAAAAAGCTAATCAGAAGTCCATTTCAATTTGAGTTTGTTTTTCATTTTAGTACCATTACGTTCTACTAACATTGATACTCATGCGAGATGGATACAGAACGGTCTAACTGTAGCTGGAGATAATCAACAAGGTAATAGTTTTAACCAGCTCAATCGTCCATGCGGTTTATTTGTTGATTATAATCAAAGTGTTTATATTGTTGACCGCTATAATCATCGTATTATGGAGTGGAAATATGGTGAGACGAGTGGTCGAGTTGTTGCTGGAGGAAACGGACGTGGAAACGAAAATAATCAGTTAAGTCTTCCTACAGATATAATCATCGACACAAACACTGATAGTCTTATCATCTGTGATGCAGAAAATCGGCGAGTAGTACGATGGCCTTGTCGAGGTGGAACAAATGGAGAAACAATCATCTCGAATGTAGACTGTTTCGGCTTGACAATGGACGACAATGGATTTCTTTATATTTCTGATGATATGAAGAATGAGATTAGACGTTGGCGAACAGGAGACACTCATGGAGAACTAGTAGCGGGTGGTAATGGGAAAGGGAATGATTTCAATCAGTTCAATCGTCCAACATACATATTCATCGACAAGGATCATTCACTGTATGTGTCAGATCATATCAATCGCCGTGTTATGAAATGGATGAAAGGTGCAACCGAAGGTATTGAAGTTGTCGGTGGTTGTAGTCTTGAAAATGATCCTTCACAATTGTCACGTCCTCGAGGAATAGTTGTCGATCAATTAGGTACTATCTACGTGGCTGACTTCGAGAATCATCGAATTATGTGTTGGCTGAAAGGAGTCAAGCAAGGAAATATCCTTGTTGGTGGAAACGGTAAAGGAAGAGAATCAAATCAATTCGATGGTCCTAATGGTTTATCATTCGATCGACAGGGCAATCTCTATGTCGTTGATTGTGACAATAATCGAGTACAAAGATTCAATATCGATTTAGGTTTTTTACCTTAGCAGTTGTTAGTCGGCTCTTTGTGTTGATTTTTTTGTTCGTCAAAATAAAATTCAATAAACAAGTTCATTCGAGTCCTACGAAAAAGGATTCAGTTGAAAAATTTAACAATCTTGTTGATCAACAAGGTCAGATGCTAGGGTGAATTATAGACACTAATTTGACCTGTTCATATTAAATCTCCTATCATCGATTATCGTAATTGTCGCAAGAGGATTCTTCATGGTTTCGACGACTTATTCTTAGTCGATGTCGAAGAGACTGTATGTTTCCAAAAAAATGCACCCTGTCTTTGGTTCAATGTTATTTAATCCCAGAAACTAATGGAAAGTTCCCAAACATTTCAGGTTTTGTTCACTCAACACTCCATTCAAGTTCCTAAAATTGAAATAGTCATCTTCAAACTGTACTGAAACTAACCATGTAATTAAAGCTAATACTATATTCGATAGACAATGGGTGTGAGTGTGGATCTTCTATTCATCCACAACTGATCGATAAGTGTCAAAAGAAGATCTAACATTGATAAGATATGGTGCTAGCGACTTTTTTGTAGTAATGTACCAATAGACTATTTTGAAAACATGCATAATTTGTGACATTTCTTTTCCGATGAATTTTTATATGTGGTAGAGAATATTTGTTGGTGCATGCTCGTATACTGGCGGTTCAATGTATTATTCAATGAATGAATTGGTACGCCAAAGAGCAGATATAAGGATCCTTGTGCCTATTTTTACTCTTCTGAGAATTGAAGAAAATTGTTCTATTATCACTATGTTAACATAGTAGATCAACAAGTTTCATCAAAAGATTAATTTGCCAGATGTTTCGATAATTTTCTACAATTTTCGAGCAGTTGGTGATTATCTGGTTAAGATAATTGCAAAAGAACGTGGTGCTCCACCTCAACAACACTTCCTCTATGGAATTTTCAAATATACAAAAAAAAAAGATAAAAAAATAGTTAGGAGAATGATGAACTCTAGTCTGATAAAAACTTGAATAAAAAACGAACAGAACCCGATCTTTGTCTTTGTGTGCCAGCTTGAGTATGCATATTTCTTGTATTCACTCTAGCATATACTCACACCCGCACTCCTATTTTTTTCTGCGTTATTTGCTTGCTCAAGAGAGCATTACTAATGGCGTGCACCATAATGAAATACATAGAAAGAGCAATCTCATAATGGAACTCAAATGATACGAAACGAATCAGAAAATCATTGAATAAAAAGTAAGTAATTATGATTTTTTTTTAATCAGAGTCATTTAAATACTTGCACATTTTATCTGTCTTCTCATATCAATCTAACAAAAAAAGTGACAACATGCAGTGGTATCTCCTTACCATACTTTTCCTTTTTGATGGTGTTCCTTTAAAAGCATTAGCAGCGGACAATACTGGTAACAAATTTGACTGTAGTATAAATCGAGCAGTATTGACTTTTTAATTTTATTATCAGGGTTAGAAACTCAAGAAAATAATGGTTTTACTGACGCTCAGAAGACATTCCAAGAAGAAATGCTGAAGGCTCACAATAATTATAGAAAGCAACATTGTGTGCCGTCACTTATACTCGATGATGGTCTTAGCCGAGGCGCTCAATCCTATGCTAAGACTCTTGTGAAAACCAACGTATTTGCTCACAGCACGGATAGGGATAATGTTGGCGAAAATCTTTATAAAAAGTCCAGCACAAAGGCTCTTAAATTGACTGGTAAGATGCTACGCACTATTTAGTCTATTCATTAACAATAGTGATATTCATTTTAGGTGATAAACCGACAGAATCCTGGTACAATGAAACCAAATATTACGACTTTAACAAGCCTGGGTTTTCGTCTGCAGCAGGTCATTTGACTCAAGTTTTATGGAAAAATTCAGATAAACTCGGCGTTGGGATTGCATACAGTACCGATGAGCGTATTGTTTATGTCGTGGCTCGATACTCACCAGCGGGCAATGTTCTTGAGCAGTTCGACGAAAACGTCTTGTCAAAATGCTCTTAAAATAAAGAATAAAGAATAAATAATACGAAAATCTTTTATTGATCATATTCGAGCAATAAAGTGTTTATTTCTCTTCACCATGTTTTTGTAGGAATGGCATTGTACTGTTAAACTAAGAAATAACTTAACCGTCTCGTATTAAGTTAAAAATATAAGATACTATTGAACGAGTACTTCCTAAATTATTATACACCTAGTATTTTCAAAATTTCTTCACTATGATTCGTTTGATTAAAAAACTATTTGTATCTAAAGATAGAGTTTGAAATCATGCACATGATAGTATATTTTACTTAACGAATATAGTCTCTTCCGTTTTATTTTTGATCAGGCATAAAAGTACTGTAAAGTTAAATATAGAATGTAAAATTTTTTCATTTCCAATTTTTTTGATAAAATATTTTATTTCGTCTATTAATATTGTTATATGGTCCTAATTCATAACTTCACCAAGTCTATTCTGTGAACAATAATTCAATGAAGACTCCATATTGTGAAAACGGCCTCAGTTTTAATGATTAAGCGCGATTTTGATAGAAAAATTATTGATGATTTCATGACAACAAAAATGGCTGAATGATTAATTAGAATATTTTATTTCTACATATTAAAATAACTATTTTCCAAAACGAATGACATCAAAACTATTTTTAGAATTAGATAGTTTATTACATGTAAAGCATACTTTTCTTTGATCCCTCTAAATCAATAGAAATCGAAGTATTTTACGAATTATGTAACATTAACTTCATGATCAGTAACGAAGAGCTAATAACTATAAAGTAAGTAGTACTTATCTGTAAAATTCTATCTGAATTTTCGCTTAGTATATTCCTCGACAAGCTTTTTTTTTTAATTCTATATTGTAGTTAGTAAAAATTGACAAATATTGTGCAATATTTTAGTATAGGTCGGAAAACTTCATGATCATCATTTGGCATGTACATGAGATTTATTACAGAACAAACTGATGATAATTGTTTATCAATAGGTTTATTGGAAAGCATTTGAATAGAGTATAAATTATACGTATTTATTTAAAAATTTTTCTAGATATACTTTGAATTCAAATTTATTAATACTCTTTAATTGCTATGACACAAAAAGAAGAGTCTAATGCCAAAAAATGTCGTTAGATAAAAGTTTAAGAGTTAAGAGTAACAACTAGAAATCATGTTTTTCTTTTGATACTATCAAAACTATATTAGTCTCATAAAGAAGCAAGATAAATGAAGAAGTTTAATTACTCTTTGTATCTTCTTAATTTGATAAAGACAAAATATGTTTCATAGAATTAAATAATCAGATATATATTTAACTTAGTTCAATAGAATAACTAATACAATAATCTATTAAAGTCAACGTGGGTAATTCCAGAATCAGTGCACCAAATTATTCTGAAAGACGTTGAGATATCGATAATTTTAGAAAATAAGATAGAAACTGAGGCTATAAATAGGAGTGGGAGTCATATTATTCCCATCCGATTTTTCAATCAACCAAATGACTACTTTGAAAGAAATAATGATGTTTATAAAACTTGACTAAACGTTTAAATAAGTCGAAAAAATGTGATTCTACAAATGGTTTTTTGTCAAAAATCTCGAGTTCGATTTTGTTTTTGCTCATAGTGGAGATCTGTTTCCAAACAATAGATGAACATTGTGTAACTCAATTAAATCACGAGAACTAGACTTTCTTTGAGTGAAGATCTTCTTTTCAAACAGATTCATCTACATACTGTTTTCTTCAAAAATTTTTTATTTCATTATACTATCTTGAAGTTTACATAGAAAACTTTGATTTTCATTATCATTTTTAACTAACATAGAATAACTTACAACAGATTTCGATCTATGATAATTAATGAAAATATTGTTAGATTATTTTAATAACTTTGAAAAATAATTTCCGTTGATTATTTTGAAAAAAAAAATAACTTCTAATAATATTAATTAGATCAATAGTAAATTGATTGAAGTTATAAATCGAATTAACTCGATTGATTTAAGAATAAACTACTAATATTTTATATTAATAATTCATTATCATATACTTAAAATAGTTCTTTTTTCAGCAATAAAATCAATTTGAACAGACAGACTTATCTCGTTTAAAACTGTTAGACTTTTTGTGAATGTGTTTTTTAATCTACTAATTCAAAGTACAATGATTATAGTAAAAATTCTTTATATCAAGTAATGAAGTAGATCATATCATAGCAAAAAATAAAACAATATCTATACTATGAATAGGATTATTAAATCTATCTTTTATTTTAAGATCAATAACTTTATCCTATAGATCTTTCAATGTTATGTTGTCCTTTTTATATATTTGAAGTTAAACGAAGTGTATTTAATACTATTATTAATCATGAAATAATTTTTATGAAGTTTTCATTGTTTTTTTTTCTTTTCTAATTAAATTTTAATTAGACATAGATATTTATTTCAAGAGAATTGCTTGAAGTAATTTTATCACATTTGAGCATATATCTTTGACGTATATAGAAAATCTTTAGCTTTAGGCTATCATAAGTCAAAAAGACGTCGATCTACATCATTTTCTCTACTAACTTACGATAGGTTTTTTTTTGTTTTGATCATAAGATGTGATATTGAAAGAAAAATTGATCAAAGAATTTTTCGACTTCAAATATTGTTTATTTTTGTCGAAATGATTACTTCCTTTTTGACATATTTAATGTTTGAAAAAAACGTTTTGAAACATCATTATAGGGTTATAAAAAAAAATGTTTTTTTTTCTTAAATAAATAATAATAATAATGATCTCTATGTGTAGCCTTGATATAGTCTTAAAAATAGATTCGTATTTACGTGTTAGAATATTTTCTCTTCGTATTTTTCTTCTGTTAATAATGATTGTAATTATTATATCTATTAAAATAATGTGTGTATGTTGTCTATGTAGTGCTATTTAGAACTAAAAGCAAGCATTAAAATATATCTTTTCTAATCATACTCAT